CAGGTTTCTAAATGCTTAAATTCTTATCTTTGAACATTGAAGATGTCTGTGCGAGTATTGAATCCTAATGCGGAGGTGCTCAACAAAACGGCGGCGCTTCATATGACAATCAACGCCGCTAAGGGTTTACAGGATGTGCTCAAGTCCAATCTCGGTCCCAAGGGAACCATCAAGATGTAAGTCTTGTCTCTTCTTAGATCTATGTGATTATTTCCTGGTGTGCCTTCACCTTTCGTATCTGATATTGATTTAATGCGACTGTTGTATCTATCAGGCTTGTTGGTGGTTCAGGGGATATCAAGCTTACCAAGGACGGGAACACGCTTTTGAAGGAAATGGTAAGCTCAATGAAGCTAAATCTTGTATGTGTGTGTTGATAAGCTTGAAACACGTGTCACTTTAATGTTAGACGTTAGGCTTGTGCTTATACCTTGGTGAAGTTGGAGTACGATTATAAATAAAAAATTGATTATGGTTAACGTTACTTTATTCAGATTGTTAGTTGGTATGGTGGTATAAAAGGACATACAATGTATCTTTAAGAGTGAGACTTGTAATTTGATGGTTCTGCCTTAATGGATAGCTATATATTATCTGGGCATTAATTAGTTTGGTAGTGCTTACAGTTCTCACTTGCTTATCTTTGCTGCAGCAAATTCAAAATCCTACAGCTATCATGATTGCCAGGACTGCTGTTGCACAGGATGACATCAGTGGTGATGGTACTACTTCCACTGTCATCTTCATTGGTGAGCTCATGAAACAGTCCGAGCTTTGCATCGATGAAGGTTAGCTCTATTTACCTTGTTTTATCATTCCTGAGTTGGGTTAATTTTATCTCATTCATTATATATCTGTTTTAACTCTTTCTATCACCTACCTTGTCATGTTTTTTTTAACCTCGGTGAGAAAATTGTCCTAATACCAAGTCTCTAATGTGTCTCAGGAATGCATCCACGTCTTTTAGTTGATGCTTTCGAGATTGCAAAAAGAGCTACTCTTCAATTTCTCGACACTTTCAAGACTCCTGTGGTTATGGGTGATGAGCCTGATAAAGAGATCCTGAAAATGGTTGCTAGGACCACTCTAAGAACAAAGGTATTCTTCATATGATGATATCTATATATCAGTTTTACCACATACTTTTCTCTCTTTTAACTGCCTTTTTCGTGCTATCTTAGTTGTATGAAGGCTTAGCTGACCAACTGACTGATATTGTTGTTAATTCGGTAAGTTTACTGATACCTCTCATTCAGTGTTATCATGCTTTTTACATATATGTATACTAATCTATGAATTAGTTTTGTTTTTCAAGCTTGTTTGTCTTATACTTAGATTCTTCCTGTGCATTACAGGTTCTCTGCATTCGGAAGCCTGAGGAACCTATTGATCTGTTCATGGTTGAGATAATGCACATGCGCCATAAATTTGATGTTGACACACGATTGGTATGCTTGATTTATTGGAATTTAAGGGTTCTTGCCTAGTAGAATGACTTGCGTATTGGATCAAATCCTTTTGCTTGTACCCGCCGCTACATCACATAGATTGTTTCTCTTGTATTAGGTTGAGGGGCTTGTTCTGGATCATGGTTCAAGACACCCTGACATGAAGCGACGTGCAGAGAATTGTCACATCCTTACTTGCAATGTGTCTCTGGAGTATGAGAAGAGGTGTGTAATCTAAACCTCTGGTTGGTTGGTTGGTTATGAAAGACTATAAGTTAGAGGAACATTCCGTGTATCATTGGTTCGTAGCCTAACTTTGTGTATATCAGTGAAATTAATGCAGGGTTTTTCTACTCGAATGCGGAACAGAGGGAAGCCATGGTTACTGCAGAGCGACGTTCTGTTGATGAAAGAGTCAAGAAAATTATTGAGCTTAAGAATAAGGTGGGTTTAAACTACTACATCTAAGCCATATACTGTAACGTTTCAGATATTTACATGGTTTGTTTCCCTTGCAGGTTTGTGCTGGTAATGATAACAGCTTTGTTATCATAAATCAAAAGGGTATTGATCCCCCATCATTGGATATGCTTGCTAGAGAAGGGGTAAGCTACGACTTTTTTTTTTTTTGTCAATTTCGGCATCCATAATTATGAATTCACCGTGAATTGAAATGTAAAGGCAAAATTAATTGAAACAAAATAGAGAAAAGGTTTTCCGCTAAGTGTGCTTACCTAAAGGCTTTTAGATGCCTGGATCTTTAACGAAGCTTGTCTCTCATCTCATACTTCTCGTGTCTATAAGTTATTATGGTCCATTTATCATTCTGTTTCTTTACGCTTATTTGTTTCTCCAGATTGTTGCCCTTCGAAGAGCAAAGAGGAGGAACATGGAACGTTTGGTTCTGGCATGTGGGGGAGAAGCTGTGAACTCCGTTGATGACTTGAACCCGGAGTCTCTTGGATGGGCTGGACTTGTTTATGAGCACGTTCTTGGGGAAGAGAAGTACACATTTGTGGAGCAAGTGAAGAATCCTCATTCATGTACTATCCTCATTAAAGGTACAATAGCTTAAACTTCTATCTCTTGGCTGGTAAAGTTTTAAAGTTGGGTTTTTCCTCTTGCATGCTGGTTTATTTGATTATCCGTGAATCACTTGGGTTTTGTAGGGCCTAACGACCACACCATTGCTCAAATTAAGGATGCTGTCCGTGATGGTTTAAGATCAGTTAAGAATACATTGGAAGATGAGTGTGTTGTATTAGTGAGTACTTTCTTCCTCCTAAATATCAAAGAAAATTCCTTTTCAGTGTGATTGTTGGTTCTGCATGCTTATGGTTTGCCTATCTTGGCAGGGAGCTGGAGCTTTTGAAGTTGCAGCAAGCCAGCACTTAATGAACGAAGTCATGACAACCGTTAAAGGGGTAAGTATTGAGTAATATCCCTCTGCTCCACCAATACCCACTCTTGAATTTTTAGGCTGCTAATGTGAATTGTGGGGATAATTGCAGCGAGCTAAGCTCGGTGTAGAAGCTTTTGCCAAAGCTCTTCAGGTGGTTCCCAAGACACTGGCTGAAAACGCTGGGCTTGATACACTAGACGTTATCATTTCACTAAAGGTATTAGACTTTCATTTCCCTCTTTCCGCTATCACATAACAACAAATATAGCTTGTTAATTTTGGGTTTACTAATGAATTTGCATTCTGTATATATAGAGTGAGCATGGCAAAGGAAACGTGGTGGGACTAAACCTGGTGGATGGAGAACCCATCGACCCGCAGCTTGCCGGTATATTCGACAATTACTCGGTGAAACGCCAACTTATCAATTCAGGGTATGTTCAAAACCAAAACTCAAACACTAAACTTAGGCGTTTGAATAATAATAATAATAAATTAGAAGGCTGGATTGGTAAATATGTGTGTTGCAGGCCGGTGATAGCTTCGCAATTGTTATTAGTGGATGAAGTGATACGTGCTGGAAGGAATATGAGGAAGCCTACTTAAAAGCTTCCTTCTATGTATTATTGGTTCTCTCACCTTAAACTTTTATTTTCCGGTTCTTCTTTTAGTTTTTGAGTTTTACCATAAGGAAATTATGTTTTTAATTGTGTTTGTCATAGAGAATCTCAAATATGTATGTTTTTTTAATGAGTAAAACATGATGAAATCTCAATTACTAGTTAATTTGTTTATTCTTTTGGGGTTCTACTCCTTTGTTTTTTTTCTCTATTCCTTCTTGTGAATTAGGAAAGATACCAAACTTTCATGGAAATGGGAGCAAAGGATTATTTTCAAAATAATAAAGTCCAATTTTCCGACAATGCACGGTGGTGAAACTTTAATAATTCTATCACAGAATACGGGGCCATATAATAAACTAGAGATTTTCGCGAAATTATAAGCTTTGACGAGTCAACGACGTTAGACACTTGTCGCACGCTAATTGGGCCTATTTCCATGTACTTTCTCCGACAATCAAAGCCCATCTCTTTCCCCCTTATTTCTTCTCTCCCTTGCCTCATTTTGCGTCTCAAGACTTGGAACTCGACAAAAATCCCTAATTCCAAAAACTCCCTCTCTCGGTACAGATCTGAACTCGCTTTGCCTCATACTTCGACGTATAGTATCTCTGTGTTCTCAATATTGATGTTATCGTTTCGTTTTGTGGAGACTTCGTTTGCTCTGTTTTGTTTTCTTGTCTGTTGTTACTACTTAGATCTGAGCTTATCCACGATCGGTTCTTTTGTTTCCTTCACTGGATCTTGTTATTAGTTGATTTTTGACTGGATCTAGTGTTCGATTTGTGTGTGCGTCTTTTAGCTTAGCTACAGTGATGTTCATCAAGTTTAAAACTATATATTTATTATTTTGCAAAACAGGATCTATAACAAGAAACGATGTCGTCTACTCGTGAAGAGAATGTGTACTTAGCCAAGTTAGCCGAGCAAGCCGAACGTTACGAGGAGATGGTTGAGTTCATGGAGAAAGTCGCCAAGACCGTTGACTCCGAGGAGCTCACTGTCGAAGAGAGGAATCTCTTGTCCGTTGCTTACAAGAACGTGATTGGCGCTAGGAGAGCTTCATGGAGGATCATCTCTTCCATTGAACAGAAGGAAGAGAGCAGAGGGAACGAAGATCACGTCTCGATTATCAAAGACTACAGAGGGAAGATCGAAACCGAGCTCACCAAAATCTGTGATGGGATTTTGAATCTTCTTGATTCTCATCTTGTTCCCGCTGCGTCTTTGGCTGAGTCTAAAGTGTTTTATCTGAAGATGAAGGGGGATTATCATAGGTACCTTGCTGAGTTTAAGACTGGTGCTGAGAGGAAAGATGCTGCTGAGAACACTCTCGTGGCTTACAAGTCAGCTCAGGTAAAAAAGTCTTTTTAAAGTTTTTGAATGGTTAAGACTTGAGAAAGGTGGCTTAAGTGATGGTGTGTTTTTTTGTTCTTGTGTAGGATATTGCACTTGCTGATTTACCTCCTACGCATCCGATTAGATTGGGACTTGCTCTTAACTTCTCTGTCTTCTACTATGAGATTCTCAACTCACCTAACCGCGCTTGTAATCTCGCCAAACAGGTTTGTGTTTTTTTTTTTTGCTTTGTCATTTATGTTTGCAAGTTTTCTGGTTTATGACATTTCAATCAATTGTTTTTTCACAGGCTTTTGATGAAGCAATCTCTGAGCTGGACACATTAGGAGAAGAATCATACAAGGACAGCACACTGATCATGCAACTTCTCCGTGACAATCTGACCCTCTGGACTTCTGACATCAATGTACACACCTTTTTCTCCTCCTTATCTCTTTCCATGTAACTGTTATCTACACAGTTTATAGTAAGTTCATGTATTGAGTATAATTTTTATTTAAGGTCGTGTTGTGTTGCTCATTTTCAGGATGAGGCGGGTGGTGATGAGATCAAGGAGGCGTCAAAAGACGAGCCTGAAGAAGAGAAACATGCTTAAACGTTGAAGTGACTCTAGAGAGCGAGCGTTACTATGTATTGGATTTGGCTCTAGTTTCTTAAAAACATATGCTATGGGGTTTGTGTGTGTAGAAGCAGAGAGAAGATCATCATTTGATTTTCTCCTTTGAAAACTCATGTTCTCTCTTTTTTTTTTAGTGCTTTTGAGTCTTTGGTTTTACTTTGTTTCTTGTTATTATTTTTTAGGAAATTGAGAAACAAAACTCTCAATTATTGCTTTGGTTTCAAGTTAAACTCTTTGGTTTTACGTCGTTGCTGGTTTCAACTCTTTTTTGCCGCCAATTGATCTTTCAAAGTAAACCTCTTTAGAGATTACGTGAAGTAAACAGTAGTGCCCACAAGAGCAAATAGAGAACCAAGCATTTAAGAAAGGGTCTGCCTCCGAAAGCATTTACACTAAAATAAAACTGACAGTTTTATTACCACAACATATATGAAACTTAAGAGAACGTTTTAATACAATTGAACAGAGTAAAGTCTTGATGAAACCATAACTGCAAAACACAAAACAAACCGTCTCTATTTTTTAAGTTCTCTTATGTTACTGTCAGAAAGACTGGATTCAAGATCTTGTTTTTGCTTCTAAAAGTTTAAGATCATGTTTCCTAAGAAACCAACTGATCAATGTACTACACAGCCACATAGCTTCGATGAGGCTCGATGGGTTATCAACGTCCAAAAATCTCTGGACGCAGAGCTCGAAGAACACCCTCTCGATTCAGTCACAGTCAGCAGCATTTTCACCGTCCCTAAAGCATTAATGTGTAGTAGCCATCGAGACTCATACACACCTCAACGAGTCTCTATCGGACCTTACCACTGTCTAAAACCAGAGCTTCACGAAACAGAGAGGTATAAACTAATGATCGCGCGAAAATCTCGAAACCGATCCAAATCTTTCATGTTTCATGATCTTGTTGAGAAGTTACAACCCCTGGAGGTCAAGATCCGAGCTTGCTATCATAAGTATATCAGTCTAAACGACGAGACTCTGTTGTGGATAATGGCTATAGACTCTTCGTTCTTGATAGAGTTTCTTAAGATTTACAGTTTCAGAAAGGTCGATACTTTGATAAACAGAGTTGATCATAACGAGATTCTTAGAGATGTAATGATGTTAGAGAACCAAATCCCTTTATTCGTTTTGAGGATGACGCTCGAGTTTCAGCTTGAATCGACTGAATCAGCTGATGATCTGTTGGTCTCTGTTCTTAAAGGATTATGCAAAGATCTCTCTCCCCTCGTGATCAAATTCGAAGATGATGCGATTCTGAAGGCTAACTTTCATGAGTACAATCACATATTAGATTTCTTGTATCAAATGATCGTTCCAAGAATCGAAGAAGAAGAAGAAGAGCTTTATGAAGAAAACAGAGGCGAAAACAGAGCATATAAGCTTCTAAGAGAGATCAAGCTTCGATTCAAAAGGGTCTTCGCATCAAGACCTGCTGATATCATCTTGAGATTACCATGGAGAGTCATGTCAAATCTCCCAGGTTTCATCGCTCTAAATTATCTCTTCACCAGACAAGAAAACGAAGGAACAACAACGAGACAAGAACCATCATCATCATCTGTCTCAGTTTCCGACATCGAAAAGCCTCCTCTAGTCGAAGAGCTCACAATCCCATCAGTCTCTCAACTCCACAAAGCAGGAGTTAAGTTCAAACCAACACCAAACGGTAACGTTTCAACGGTAGCATTCGATTCAAACTCAGGTCATTTCCACCTCCCTGTAATAAACCTAGACATCAACACGGAGACCGTTCTTCGAAACCTCGTTGCTTACGAAGCTTCAAACACTTCAGGACCATTAGTGTTCACTCGCTACACAGAGCTAATAAACGGAATCATAGACTCGGAAGAAGACGTTAGGTTGCTTAGAGAGCAAGGCGTTCTCTTGAGCCGTCTCAAGAGTGATGAAGAAGCTGCGGAGATGTGGAATGGTATGAGCAAATCAGTTAGGTTGACCAAAGTTGGGTTCTTGGATAAGACTATTGAGGATGTTAACCGGTATTATACCGGACGGTGGAAGGTTAAGATTGGGAGATTTGTTGAGGTTTATGTTTATGGATCGTGGAAGATTTTTGCGTTTTTAGGGGCGGTTTTGTTGCTGATGCTGGTTTCTTTGCAAGTGCTCTCGTTGGTATTTAGCTCCTTGAGGTTGCTTGGATTGAGAACCGGTTAGGTGAGATGAATGTGATTTTGGATTTGGGTTCAATGTGGTTCCATTTTGATTTGGTTATTTTGAACCATGTAAGAAGCCACACAGACTAGATTATTCCAAACCAAAATAAACCGAGACCTTCCCGGTCTAACTGGTTTAGATATGGAAGCGGTATTATAGAAAACAAGTAACATCATATTGTATTTAAATTTCTAGATGAAATTTTAATACACTTTCAATTTTTCGACCAGTAACATCATATTGTTTTTTTCATTGGTTGAATGAATTTTATTTAGTGCTATCACTACTATATTAAAAGTGCTTAATACTTCCCCATCCTTAAGCCACGTTGGAATTTATATTCTTCCAATAGGAGTTTAATTTTCGGCCATGTCACCTCACTTCAGTCTTAACACAGATTCTACAATCTTATCGTCTCTTCCTCAGACGCGTGACTTTTCCTTTACACTAAGCGGTTTAAGAGCATCTCCAATGTATTACTCCATTTTCTACTCTAAAATGGAGTAACTCCAAAATGCAGTTGAGTTTTACTCCAATGTATTACTCTATTTTCTACTCCAAAAGAATATTTTTAATATTATATTTATTTCAAAATTAGGAATATCACCTTTCATTTATACTATTTGCAAAACAGTCCATTTTAAATTTATAGCAT